GTAGCGAAACCATCGCAGCTGTGACTTCTCAATCTGAAAAAGCAGCGGCTGCATATATCCCCTCTCCGGGATATCTGTACTCGGGAGCACGCAGAGACGCGTTAGTCCTTCAATTCGTTTCTTGTACCTGGGATCGAATTTTTTCAGTCATGCTGCACGACTCTAGTGTGACTGTAGTTGATCTTCAGGATGAAGATCAACTTGAACACAGACAGTTTAGTCTTCAGACTCAGTTCTATTCATGTATTATATCTCGACTTAGTTAGCCCCCTAAAATCCATAAAACTGAAAATCATTTCGTCCACTTCATCTTATTTCCATACTGCGCAGAGCTAACATTAATTTCAAAAGAATCTCTCTGATGCTGCAAGTGGCTGCTGTGTGAATTTTGCAGCTGTTCAATGGCTGCCAGTAACAGCATAACGCACGGCAATCAGAGCGAAGGTCTTCTAACAATCTTTGAGGCCCTGTAATGAATCGCGACATCAAGGACATGCGTAGTGATTCAGTTTACTAACGATTTCACTAACGATGACACATGACCTGGTTTCATTACAATTGGAATCCTGTCGGTTAGAAAAGCAAGCCTCTTCAAGCAAAACGAAATAAATAATATTGCAAATATCTCACAGTATGCTAATGCATGCTATTCAAAATAGTGATTACCGACCCGGAGAATGACGATATTGGTGACTGTGACGATCTGAGCAGCAATATTACCCTGTTTCATCATTACTAAACGTCTAGAAGGAAGCAATTTTGCGGGTCACGGCAATATAGCACCTGACAACGATAGTGCATGTATGCATGCATGCAGCATTAACCAGGCGCGTTAATAACGGTGAACTTGATCCACATGCATCAAAACACTCATCCATCGCAGCACCGGTAATGCGTGAACTCTTCTCAATAGGATATCGGCTTTACTACCATATTTCAGAGCCTTCAAAACTGCTATACAAGAAGCGACGATTCATTCCAGCAGTAAATCTGACTGTAAATAGCTGAGCATACCAAATAAAGTGGATGTAAAAGTTTTGTGATAGCCAAACAACTTAATTAGTAATCCAACAAGTTGCGGTGGGCCTTGCTCGAACGATAACTTGTTGGGGATTGCCACTATGTAATACTTCGCCTGCAACTGTACAAATGGCTAAGCAATCTTGCAGCAATCGACCTCAGATAATCAGCTTGGTGATTATCCACTTTTCCTGCAAGCCGTTCACTGTTTTCAACGTCAATTCAAGGGTGGTTTAATCCGGTTAAGCAATTCTTTGCATTTGGGGGCGCATCTGGCGATTTTTCGACTGCTCCAGCATTTGCTACACGGCCATCTGTTGATGAGATCCCTTCATACGCTAGCGCTAAACGTCGCATATACAAAGAACACTGATGTCCCATCATCGAAACGAAATCTACGGCGCTATCAGAAACTTTATTCGAACATGCGAACGTTTTGTTTTTCGTGTTTATAAAGGGGCCTGTTTCCGGACCAATGAATTTCGCCCTGATAATGCAATTTACATTACCGTATGAGGCTAACATAGCTATGACAGCAGAATAGTTCAGATTTGTACTACTTGACCATTACAAATGACTTCCGTTGACTGTTCAAGGCGTTCACTGTAATAACGCCAAAGGTCGTATTCTTCTCAACGAAGGGTTTGCACAATTTGTAATTTCGCTCCAATGCACCAGTAGTCAATGCCACGTCCTAGACGGAAAATGTTTATAATTTACATTCATTCTCTTTTTTGGCTGTTTAGTTAAACTGAGCCAGGCGCCAGACCGTGATTTCACCTCACAGTATCCCGAATCCCGAGACGAGTCATCGTCAACTACTGGTGGGACCGTAGTAACCTCGTTGAGGACACTTCGTGCACAGCACCATTGAAAACTCTTCAAACGAAAGTGCCTTTCAGCGTTGTGACCTTCGTATCGGTTCTTAGTGTTCGATCCTTTCATATGTCATACATCTTGCCAAGATTTGGTGATACCAGTTTCATCCGGCGGTTCTGCACACTAGCAATGTCGCCATCGTTAGCTACTACGGTTTCGAGGCACTTGCAACGGGTTGTGTCCCTCTCATCTACGAGCTGGAGGGCGCAGCCCACTCCTTCATAATCCTCGTCTTCTCGGAGTTGGTTTGTTCCAAATTCCCACAGCAGTGTTGCGCACTTTAACCGCTAGTATTAAAGGACCATCTGCGGAGCCGCTCAGATGCAGCAAGCAATCCGCGCAGTAAAAGCACATTAGGAATCCCGCCGGATATGTTGAAATGTGTAGCAACACGTAAGTAGTAAATGTTTCTACCACTGCGTCCGGTGTCCAACAACTTTAGTGTCCTTAACCATTAACAGCCAGGCAATGGGTCTCAGATCGACAAGTGCCCAAACGATTCACTTCATAAAGGAAAAAGCTGGCCATACGCTTTATAATAAAATCCTTCCAACAGGTAGAATCTGATCAGTTTTTGAATAAAAGACTGATTCTTCCTACTCGTAATAATGCAACGATTTTTTTCATCCCTGCCGGTCATAAAGAGCATTTGGGTTTTTTTAGTTCGCCTGGCGTCGTAACAAGGAAATTGGCTGCGCGTACGCAGGATGCAGCAAGGAACAACTCGACCTGAACAGCACGCAGACCGTGCTGACTGTTGTGTGCGTATTCGATACTCAGTAAGCAATTTTTTTTACACACAAACACAGGTAAACAGGCAGACAAGATGTTTATAGACAAGCACGATTCATAGCTAAGCATTCTTTCAGGAAACTAAAAATCAGCGGTGACCTCGATAAGAAGGTTTTCGTCCAGTAAGATTTGAATTTCGCTAAACGGCTTGTAACACCCTGAAACAGATCTCGGAATTTGTCAGGCGACGTTTTTCAAGGAATATATTTAATCCCCCTAGAAAAAAGGATCTAGCGTGATTCAGCCATTACACGGTGACAATCGATGCAAAGCGCTCCGCCCTTTCATTCAATTAGTTGTATAATTAAGCCCATCACTATGATTATATATGTTATAAAAAATGAGGTACTTTGAATTCGCCTTGGTCACATATAAATGTAATGTTTAGGCTATAAGAAAGCAACGGAGCACATGGGGTCGTACAGCTGAGTGCGTTATTATATCACACAGCCGCTTCAATCATCAACACTCAAAGTGAGCTACACGGTTCAATGGAACACCGGGCTGCGAAATGCCTCGAAAGGACATTTGAAC